ATCCCTTTTTAAAAAGAATTTCTCGTTTTAAAGAAGGAATAAATGAGAGATCCTAATAATGTCACTGGAAACAGTGAGCCATTGTGTGTGGATTTGTGCTATTCTTTGTTTTGTACCTAGTAATTATATTGTAATGTCACTGAAGAAAGACCAAATATATTTACTGAATGCAAATGTGCTCATCTAAAACAATCTCTGACTGTGTCAATTTGGTATGTTTTAATTATGGAGAAAATAATTTTCTGTATTGAAGATAATCCACCCACTCAAGTCCTGTGTTTGGCATTGGAATAATTACGGGTATATAAAGCAAATTATAGTAAATAAGGGAAAGTATATAAAAAATTCTGAATTTCCTAAGCATCTTTGGAGAGAGATAATGAAGTTACTCAGGTCAACAAAGGTGAAAAAAGAGTCCATCAGAAAAATAATTGTTTTAATGTATTAGCTAGATCTAATGGTCAGATTTTGATCTTTGATTACTCCTTAGGCTAAGCAAAGAATTTCTTTAATGATTCCTTTTCCTTCAGGAAAGAAAAAGATAAAACCCCTCTTAGTTTGCACAGTACTTATAGTTAGCTTTTAATAAATCTTCCTTAGTTTTTTCTTTTTTTCTTAACCAGTAAGAGAGAATCTGTACAAAGTATAAATCCAGAATCATGTAGAAAACTTGGAAGTAAAACAGATTACAATTTGCCCACTGTGAATATTCATTGTAATTAAGTTGTTCAGTTGGGAAGCAAACTGGATGACCTTATTACACAAGTTAAATAACTTCTGTGATGCTTATTTCCATCTTTGAAGTAGAATTAATATGTACTTCATAGGAGATAGTTCAAGGGCAGGTACATAGTTGATGGCTGGTGATAGTTATTCCATTTAATAATATTCCCTCTTTGCTGAGAGATTTGAGGTTATAATATTATAATATTTAAAAAGCTAAAGATGACCCCTTTGGGAAGTTTTAAATTTATTTCCCTGTTCATAAGTTTTAATATTAGGGTCTATGTATTTTAGATACAAAATATTTCAATCTTTTTTGCCTACTGAGTTAAGACCAAATGAGAAGTTTATTTTTAATGTATCAAATACTATGCAGTATATGTTAGCTGCAACTTCTCAGGAATTCCAAATCTTAGAGTTTTATTTTTGTTTTTCCAATATAAGGGATTTTAGAAACCATCTATTCAACCAATATTGCTTAAATGAGTGTATGGGCTCACATAGCTGTGGGTGATAGAAACTGAGGTTACAGTTGTGGTGACCAGATCATTAGTTCTCTATTCTTTCTCCCTTATGTGCTACACACCTCAAATACTTCTGAATAGATTATATACCTTTTCTTTGGCTAAAGTTTAGGGGCTTGACCTGAAGCACAGAGGAATTTTTTTCCTCTGCCAACAGAACTTCTCACTGCACTGCTTGCTATTAATACATAGATAAGATTCAAAGTAAAACTAATGATGGACAGACAGCATGGAATTTTTCCAGTGTAATTTCATAGAAGAAAGGTTTGAATCTATGCTGCCATTATGTAAAACAAGGCATGGTATACTGTATGTAAACATTTGCATATGCATAGAATTATCTCTGTATGGATGCACAAGAAACCAGTGATACTGGTTGCCTTTGAAAAGAGGCTAAACAACTAGGTGGGCAGATTGGACTCTGCAAGTTCTATAGTATTTGAATTTTTGTTCACCTTATCCTTCCAAAATATTTTTAAAAATAACTGTGTGTAAAAGTGTAATTATTAGCCTTTCATGAACATTAAAAGCATTTCTTGTGATAAATGAGTACATTGGAATTTTATTAATTTAGTAATTTCAAACTTCTCCACTTTCATGAAATATCAAAACAAGGGAAACAAAGTCAACAAGACTTAATTTGTATCTTTCATCCTTTTGAACAGCAGCTATGTGAACATTTGGAAAGAACCTAGTAATGAGGCTTTTCTATCACCTATAAACAGTTGCCAACAGACATCAAAGCTGAATCTAAGGAGTTGACAAAAAAAAAAAAAAAAAGGCAGGAAGCTGGAAGGCAGGTCTGGATGGAATTAGAACTGTGCTGCTGTGACTCTTTTTCCCCAGTGTTAAAAAATAGATGTAGTCAGGAGGAACTAACATAGATTGGCAGTCATCCACACATTTCTAGTTACCTTAGTCTTGTTTCAAGCATACAAGCCATGAGTGTTTGGGTGTCTTAAATATACCTAAGTAGTATTCTCTTTAAGTTCATCAGTTGGGATACTAAAATGACCATCCTAAGTGACTTTGCCTGTCTTTACCATTAACTGGTGTAAGAGCTGCTGGGTCTCTCTGCCTTTGTAAAGAGCAAAGAGTTTAAGGATGAGGTCTACACTAGATCTTATCCTCTAGTGTATGTTCCTCTTAAAGGCCCTGTGTAATAAAACAGAATAGCTCTTTTATGAATACTACCTTTTGTTTCAAATTTTACTTCTTAATCTTTAGTGTGTTACATATTTCCATACTAACATGCTGGGTCTTTTTGTCTGTCCTATATCCTCATTGCCTAGACCCTACTTACCCTTGGTGGGTATTTAGATATTACATGAATGAAACAAAAAATAGATCACACCATATTATCACCAAGTCTCTTAAGGAGCTAAAGGAATACCTGAGATGATTAGCATTGAAAAGGAAGAATTTACTTGTTAAAGAGATTTTGTTCTCTAGGAAATCCAAAAAGAAGAAATATACATAATGCAAAGTTTTTATTGGCAATTTAAAAGGGAAGAGAGATGTATTTTTAAAGAAAAATTCTGAGTTGCTCACTTGAAAAATATGGAGGTTAATGAAAACAGATACACTAAATCCTCACTTAATATCAATAGGTTCCTGGAAACTGTGACTTAAAGCAAAAGGACAAGTTCTTGAATAACAATTTCATTCACTGTTTAGTTATAACATTGATAAGAAAAAAACTATACATTTTCATTATACATCATTTTGCTTAAGGTTGCAGTTTCTAAGAACCTATTAATGACGTCAAGTGAGGATGTACTTGTATACAAACCCAAATGGGCAAGATGGAGAGAAATAGCTTCTTTTCAAATAATGATCTCAAATTTTAACAATGTTAAAAATATAAAGCACATCCAAACAAAATTCTGTGGATTATTATTTTTAATACAATTATACTTTGATGCTGTGGTGGTAATAACTTTATTATTTGCAGGACTATGTTTCTCAGTTGATTCATGACAAAGGCACACTCCAAAAGGATACACAACATTTACAATAACAGTTTTAAACAAATGTGGAGAAAGGATCAATTTGAAGTATTAAACAGAAAACATCTGAATGTGGATCAACTTGAATATATTTTCATTCCATAAAATATTTTTACTTTTCAACATTGTCTCATTTTGCTCTGATGGCAGTTCTATGTGCCCAGTGAGTTATTCTTTTTTTTTGTTTGTTTGTTTTTTATTTTGTTGTTCACTGTTTAATTTTTTCCTTTCACATTGAGTAGGTCACCGCTCGTTCACTCCTACCTTTGCCATTTATTAAATCAGATTCACTGGTTGCTCCTGGGAAGAAGCCAGTTTGGAAATGCTACTGTTCAGATCGTAAAACAAAACATACCCTTTGTCGTGTGAGTCATGATTTTAGAAACTACAAACTCTCCTTCCTTCCAACCTCTTTCACACACTCATGACACATGCTCATTATCAGCCCATGAAAAGGCATTTTTGAATATATGTATTAATTATAAGCCTCTAATAGCCCATGGCTCAAACCAGAAATGACATTGACTACATAGGTAAATGGAAGTTACTATTACTGTTCTAATTACTTCATTGTCTTGATCTCAGAGTTGGTCTTCAGCTCCCTGTGCTTTCTTTGGGATTTTTAATCCACCACCACCCATAGATCAATAAATAATTACTATCTTTGGCTCTGACTCCTAGAATAATCTATTCAAAGCTTTAATGTCTTTTTCTTCTTCCTTCTTTTGAGTCTCAAGCCCCATCCTCACAGCTTCAAGCTGTCTTGCCAAATTCCCTAAATTCAAAGGGAGATAAAATCAATAGAAGTTAAGTAGTCCAGAGTGTTACAAAAGTGGGGGCGCTCTTAAATGGTTCACTCTTTGCCCCTTTGAGAACCACAGCTGGAGTGCAGCCCTGAAATGACTCACTTGGGAACCGGGAAGGTGTTAGTCTCAATCACTATGTCCGGGCAAGCCCTCAGAATAGAGTGTTCCTCGCTAGGAAAACAACTCCCAATTCCAAATGATCAGGAAAGAACTTTAGGGATGCAGAGGTTGGCTGTGGGAATAGAAGGAAACCATTCCAATTACCTATTAGGCCACCTCTTACCTTTTGAGTTATTCTTAATATCCATTCAGCATATAACAATTACAATTAAGCATTCACATGACTGGATAGCTAAAGAACTCTGATTTTTTTTAATGAATTCTTCTGCTAAAAGTCCTACTTCTCCATTTCAGTTAATCCTGTGAAAATAAATGCCTTTTCTTTCCCTCCTCCGTACAGCATTCAGTAATTCAGCTATTTTACATTAGATACATGTGAATTTAACCAAGGATTATTACAAATTGAAAAAAGCCATCCAATCATAGTGCTTGAAGGCAAGGTAATACGCAACATTTTAGAATCAGGCTGTCTTGGTTTCCCTGAGGGGAATTTTTGGTCTCAAAAGAACGCAGGTATTTAAAGAAAATGAAACAATATAAAACTACTTTGTCTTAAAAAAAAAAACACACACACTTAGAGATACTGCTTTGTGGTTTATAGAATTAAGTGTTAAAACACCAAAAAGGAGGGATGTTATTCTAAGTAAGAATCCTTTCTCATGAATCTCTGAATATTTGGAATGTATGTATAGAGTCATTAAAATATAATTCTCGGAAGAAACCAAGAAATTAACATTTTTATTCCATGTTGTTTTATAAATTTAGGTCTACTGGGTCATTAAGATATTAAGCTTCTGTGTCTTACTTTGTTTTTTTTCAGTCCTAAAGCATGTTGCTTCCCTGCTTATTCCATGACCTGCAAAAGCCAATTATCAATAAAGTGACCACTCACCTTTTATTGTAACCACACAACTATGTTTCAGTGTTGGTTGACATTCATTAGATCTTGGTTTCTCAAAAATGTATTCATGTAGGTCATGAAAAATGGGCAGAAGGAAACTTCACCCAAATTATGTAGCAGTGTTAAGCAAATTCAGTTTTTGAGCCAAAATTAAATCATTTGTGTCTTCAAACTTTCCCTTGTAACTTTTCTTATAGCAATATAATTTTGCATTTTGGCCAAAGAGAGCTATTTTCTTTTGGCAGACAAAATCATGCTTCTGGAGAAACATTGATTTAGATCTATGAATCTGTTTCCTTTTCAATAGAGCACTAACAAATAGAACATTATATATTTATTTTACCTAAGTTGATCTCTTTCAAAAGACTTGACATAATGAAAAATTTGAAATTTGCTCTATAGTACATTTTTATCCAATATACATAATTATGCTCAATTTAAATCAACTTTCCAAAACAATTGGTTTTTGGCCAAGATTTAAGAACCCCAAAATGTCTTATCCAAAATAATTAATTAAAAACTGTCAATTAAAAATTATGCCACAGTGCTTAAATATAATTTTTTTAAGAGATGGGGGTCTCACTATGTTGTCCAGGCTGTACTATGTTGTCCAGGAGTGTAGTGGCTATTCACAGGCACAATCATGGTGCACTACAGCCTTAGCTCAAGCAATCCTCTTGCTTCAGCTCCCAAGTAGCTGGGACTAAAAGTGCATGCTACTGCACGAGCTATAATGTTTTTGAAAATCAGCTTTCCACTATTGCACATTTTTGAACATTTGTAAACAAATATATTTTGACTCTCAAGAAAAAAATACTCAGTGGCAGGTTAAAGAATGATTCCTAAGTTTATGCAACACAAGAGGCAGGGTACAGTTATTCCAAAATGATGGCAAACATCGTGTTTTTGCTTTGTCTGAAGAAAAATGAAATGTTTCCATTCAAGTTTTGAGTGCCCAAACAGCTATTGTTATAACGGCATCAAAATTAGTTTAAAATATTACTCAGAAAACCAACTACTTCCAACAATAACAATTTTAGTTATCTTTTATAAGAACTGTATTATAACTTTTATTGTTAAAGATCTTCTCTCTCCTCATTGGATTATCACAAACCACCTTATTAGATTCCAAATTAATTCTAACTCAATCCAAATTAAAAACTGTTCACATTCACAAGCAAGAAATACCACTGCACATTACACTCATACTTCAGGAATGTGTGCCTCTCCCATACCCCAAAAACTGACAATGCATCTATGAATTACATCTCATTACTTGAATTTATAACATTCAAAGTGCTTATGTTCTTCCACTGAACAATTAAATACATTAATATTCTTGTAGTTTCAAAACACTTCATGAACCCTGAAGTGATTCTCTATGGAAGGAGCTTCCTTTGTAAAATGAATTTGGCTAGTCACTTGCATACCAAAATCCCCAAGTATCTGAACAAATTTCTTGTGCTCCTTTCCAATCCAAGATCTCATTGGATCACGTACTTGATACGGTGTTACATGAGTATGAACAATAATCCCTGTTTGGGCAAATTCTTTCAAGACTTCTGGATAAGTAACCCAAGTATTGCTTCCTCCAGAATGACCACCATCCAGCCAGTACATTGTTCTTATGCTTTTGATAAAATCATCTATGTTCTTGTCTTTCTTGGCTTCTTTCAATTCAAAAAGCAACTGATTCAAAACAACACAACCTTTACTGAATCCAATCAAAGTAAAAGACGCGCCATTTAGTGATGGTGGATAAAATCTCATGGCAGATTCATCAAGTTTTTCACAGGTCCTCTCTTTTTCTCCCTGGCAACCATTTGTAGTATGAGAAGAACTGGATCTACAATTAGATGCTGTGGAGTCCTTATTCCAAACATTCATATTTTTCTTTGATAAACTATTCTGACTTAAGTTAAAAGCATTAACTAATAACATATAAAGGTGTTTAAAAGCCCCAAAGTCAGTACTGTGTTCTGGAGCACCAAACATGTTGCTTTTCACAAAATTGTCATAGCAGCTGAATTTGTGCAAATGCATTCGAGAACACTTTATCACCCAAATATAACTATTGGGGAACCGGTGGGCTAAAGTGGTGGCAACATTTTCTAGACTCCAGTTTTCCCACTGATAATTCTCAGGATGACGAGTCATAATTTCATGGTAATTCTGAAAGGTAAGAAAGATGAAATAAGCATTAAATACATATTTACATAAAACTATTTCTACAAAATAGTTTCCCATTTTTATTATAGTTGAAGTTAGGATGTTACAATGACCTATGGTTAATGTATTAGAAATGAAAACTAAATGTCATTACTTTCCTGTTAGAAGATTTTGAACAAATCACTTCTTCAGTGTAAGCCTCAAATACATCAAGAGACAGAAAAATAAAATATTCTTACATAGAACAGTAAGGATTTAAAAAGATAAAGCAATTTAGAAGGATTATTAGTAGTATGTTTAATAAATTTTATTTAGTATATACATGATCAATTTTCCTAACTCATCAACTAAAAATATAAATTTGGGTCATTAGACTTTTTGAGTACCAGAATTTTAAAATATTTCCCCAAGCTGCCATCCTGCAACCGTCCCTCTTTGGATTCCTCTAGCAACTTGAGCAGTATGTATGATTTCAATTTTGGTATTACAAAAAGCTGCAATGAACATTACAGAAAAGTCTTAGTACATATCTGTGATTATATCCTTAAATGTAAATTCTTAGACATGGAAAAAACATTAATAGGTCAAAGAATATTCATAACTTAAGGTTGGTCTTACAAACTACAAAACTGCCTTCCAGAGAGGTATGTGTAATTTTTCATTTTTCTTTGTTAAATTTCATAGGCACAGGATAACTCATTCAAATTTTAATTTATTGAAAACTAGGATGAAGTTGAAATTTTGTTAATATACTTACTAGCCAACTGTATTTCTACTCTTGCCTATTCATATCCTTTGACCTTTTGTATTTGGATCTTATTTATAAGCAGGCTATATATTAACAGTAACCTTGTTCATTCAGTTACTAGGACATACGTATAAATTTTGTTTTCCTCTTAATATTTATTCATAGTAGCTTTGTTTAAAAAGGGGGGGCAATTCATTCAAATTTATTCTATAAAATTTATGGGATACCAACTGATTGGGCAGGGAATAAAACAGACTAAATCACTGCGCACAGTAGAGTGCCTTCATTTTTAGGGTTCTAGTGGCACGGTGGCTCACTTGAGGCCGGTAGTTTAAGACTATCTTGTGCAACAAAGCAAGACCCTGGCTCTACAACCAACCAACCAATCAATAAAAATGGCCGGACACATTGATATGCACCTATTGTCCCAGCTATTCAGGAGGATTTCATGATCCCAGGAGTTCGAGGCTACAGTGAGCTATGATCATGCCACTCCAGCCGGGGTGACAGAGCCAGATACTGTCTCAAAAAAAAAAAAAAAGGAGGGTCTAGTACAAAGACACAATAAACAATTCCACAAGTAAATATGGTAGCAATATTTAACTGAAATATAATTGAACCACACATAAAATTTTGTAGTAGCCACATTTAAAAAAGTAAAAAGTTAACAGGTAAAATTATTTTTAACATCTTTTATTGAGCCACATATGTCCAAAATATTATTTCAACATGTAACCAATATTAAAAAGTACTAGGAGAATTACATTCTTTTTTTCTTACTAATTCTTTGAAATCCAGTGTGCATTTTACACTTACAGCACATCTCAATTTCAATGCTAAATTTTCATTGGAAATACTTGATCTGAATTTAGATTTCATAAAATTTACAGTTGTAAATGTAAATTTACATACATAAGTTGTTCCAAATATACTTAAAAATTTTCCAGGAACTGAACTGAGTTATCAGTTTTTAAATTTAAATTTAAATTAACTGAAATTAAATACAATTAAAAATTTAGTTCTTTGATTAGACTAACAACATTTTAAGTGGTCAATAGCTACAAGTGGTTAGTGGCTACCATATTGGACAGCTCAAAACATATTAGATGGTGATAAGCATGATGAAATACAACAAATAAAACAGGGGAAAAGAAGTATAAGGTTTTGGAGAGAGTAGAAAATTATTATTTAACACAGAATGGCCAAGAAAGGGTTCTTGGCCAGGTGCGGTGGCTCATGCCTGTAATCCTAGCATTCTGGTAGGCCGACGCAGGCGGATTGCTCCAGGTCAGGAGTTCGAAACCAGCCTGAGCAAGAGCGAGACCCCGTCTCTACTATAAATAGAAAGAAATTAATTGGACAACTAATATATATAGAAAAAATTAGCCGGGCATGGTGGCGCATGCCTGTAGTCCCAGCTACTTGGGAAGCTGAGGCAGGAGGATTGCTTGAGCCCAGGAGTTTGAGGTTGCTGTGAGCTAGCCTGATGCCATGGCACTCACTCTAGCCTGGGCAATAAAGCGAGACTCTGTCTCAAAAAGAAAGAAAGAAAAGGCTTCTCTAAGAAACTGATAGGTAATATAAGGACCTTAAGGAACTAAGGGAGTGAGCAATGTGGACATTTCAGGCAGACGGAACTGGGAGCCCACTGGACATAACCAAGATACAACAATGAGACCAATGTGGCTCTAGTGAAGTGAATGGAGCAAAAATGATTACAAAGGAGAGAGAGAGATTGTTGGGGAAGAGGAGAGGTGCTGATAGAATCTGTTTTGAAAGGATTACTCTGGCTCCTATGTGTGAAGGGGAAACAGCTGAAACAGGAAGACCAGTAGGAGGCTGCTGAAATGTAATCACGATGAGAGAAGATGGCTGGAACCAGAGTAGTAGCAGAGGTGGAGGTGCTAAGAAGTGGTCAGATTCTAACATATTTTGGAGGTAGAGACAACAGAATTTGCTAAAGGACTGGATATACAATGTGAGAGAGAAATAGTGTTGTGGGTTTTCCTTATTTCCAACAGTAACAATCTATATCAGTTTTAAATGCACCTCTCTTTTGACCTAGTAATTCTATTTCTAGGAATTTTATCTCATTGATATAACTGCATATATGCACAAATAAATATGTATAAGAATATTTATTTCTGCTTCAAAAGAAATGAGGCAGCTCTATGAGTACTCATATGGGTTGTAAATAAGGGCTAAAAAATCCAATATGCTATGCTACATTTGTGTTAGAAAAAATTTTTTGCATAAATATGGAATGTCTCTGGAAGGATATAAATATTGGTAACAGGCCAGGTGTGGTGGCTCACACCTGTAATACCAGCACTTTGGGAGGCCAAGGCAGGATGATCACTTGAGGCCAGGAGTGTGAGACCAGCCCAGGCACCATAGCAAGACCATGTCTCTACAAGAAAATTTTAAAAATTAGCCAGGTATCATGGCACATGCCTATAGTCCCAGCTACTCAGGAGGCTGAGGCAGGAGAATTGTCTGAGCCCAGGAGTTTCAGGCTACAGTGAGCTATGATCATGCCAGCCTGGGCGACAGAGCAAGACTTTGTCTCTAAAAAAATATAAAAATGAATAAATATTACTAACAGAAGCCTTGGGTAAGAGAAATGGGCAATTGGTGGGAATGAGATGAAAGACTTACTTTTCAATGTAGAACCTTAAATAACCTGAATTTTTAACAATATGTACTTTTTTCTATTTAAAAAATTAAAGCTAATAAAAAATACTACCAAAAATGCATTCTATATACAAAGGCACAAGAAAGATAGAAAAATTATCTATCAAAAGCCACCATTAAATCATGACCTAATAACCTCAAAAGAAAAAAAAAAAGAAATAATCATTATTAAAACTTGGTATCTAGCAGTCCAGTTTTCTTAAGTAGACATACACATATACAAGTATGCATACAAGAGAGCATTTTTCCCCCAATAAGCAATAACAAGCTTATACAGAGTTTTGATTAAAAATATATTACACACATGATTCGTTATCAATACAGATTTGCATCATAATTTTTAGACATCAGTAAGGTTAATACCAATCTACACTTCCACTGGACATATACAAGAGTGCTTATTTTCCTACATTTCTTACCTACCGTTAATACTAATGGGTATTAGCATTGTTTTTCAAAAATCTTTGCTATGGAGATAAAATGATGTTTTACTTGTGATTTAATTTGCATGTTTTGATTCCTAATCAGGTTAAACATTTTTCTGTTTACTAACAATTTTCATCTTTTTCTTTTGTTAATTATCTGTAAATGTCCTTTGATAATTTTCCCACTATGCTGCTCAACTCCTTATCATTTTTATTTCATTAAGATTAGGAGTTTGCCATATATGTTAAAAATATTAACTTCCAGAAGGCTACCATTTGACATTTTTTGGATTCTGCTATTGCCATTTGTACATCTAGATTTATGATATATACAATTATTATAAAATCATAGGAGCTTAGCTCAGGAAGGACTCACTTAAATTCTTTTTATAACTGACAGTTATGTACTTCCTATGACTGAAAATAAAAAAAAGAGACAGAAATAAATTTTACTAAATAATATAAAAAAATAATAAAATAAATTCTTTTTATAGTTAAGGACCTAAGGTCCTGGAAACTATAGTTATTTATATTATATAGTGATTTAGCTAATAAGCCAAAATGAACCCCGAATTTGTGATTCTCAGTTTAGTCTCTACCATGTAGAAGGTGCTCTAAATCCAGAAATTTGGTATTTCCTTGATGAGCCCCAGGTTACATGATGAGGGGGGGGAATGCTAATACTAAGGAACTATGTGTACTAAAATGTAAAAATTGGATCATTACTATGTATCAAAACCCTGATCTAAGAACAATAGAAATGTATTTTCATATGCTAAAAAGAGGCACCAGACATTCCCACAGGACTTGCAAAGAGGCAGCTAACACTGGTTCTACAACACAGGCTATTAACCATGGCCAACAGAAAAAAAGACTACAAATCTACAGTTAAAGACTAAGGGACAAGAGGGCTTTCTTTGGAGAGTTTTCATCTTAGTTGGGAATGCAGTGCACTTACCACCCCTGCAGGAGGTAAGGGGTAAAGGTAATGCTTCTCATCCCCAGTGAGGCAGGTAGCAAGAGAATCTCCTGGAGAGATTATTTCTATTGTATGCTTACTACTCCAGTTAGATGCTTAGTGACCTGTAAAAATGTATAGGCCCACCCCACACTATTGAAATAACATACAAAGCAATTTTAGGGAAACTTGACACATGACTGCAAGAATCTGGAGACATTCATGATATATTTAAGCCAGGTGATCCACCCTTAGAGCAGAGAAAGGAGAGCTATGTTGGATTCAAACTATACTTCTGCTATGGTTTGAATGTGTCCCTCAAAGTTCACCGGCTGGAATGGTAATCCCCATGCAATAATGTTGAGAGGTAGGGGGCCTTTAAGAGGTGATTATTAGGTCATGAGAGTTCTTCCCCCATAAATGGATTAATGCTGTTATCTTGGGAGTGGGTTCCTAACAAAAGGATGAGTTTGCCCCCTTCTTCTCTCTCCCTTTCACCTTCTGCCATGGGATGACACAGCAAGAAGGCCCTAATGTGGGCTCCTTGATGTAAATGTCCCAGCCTCTAGAAGAATCATGAGCTAACTCAATCTCTGTTCATTATAAATTACCCAATCTCAGGCATTCTGTTATAGCACAAAATGGACTAATAAATTTCTATCAAAAATGATGCATGGGGACATCTTTATTGAGCATAAAGTACACATCTCAAGTAAGCAAGCTAAAATGATCAGAAAAAGATCCAGCCTAAGAGGGCTGCCTGATGAGAGCATAGGAAGCCCCAAGGTCCATGATCAGGACATACCACTTAGGGCATGGTCATCTATGTATCCTACCCTTTAGGAAAGTTAAATTTTTAAAAGTTAAAATTAAAAACGACCCAAATGTGTATGAACAGTTGAATGAATAAACAAATTATATATCCATACACAGAATACTACCCAGTAAATAAAAGGCACAAACTACTGACACAGACAACAATAAAGATAAATTTCAGAAGCATTATGTTAATTGAAATTAGTCAGATATAAAAGCCTACATAATACGGGATTTCAAATTAATGAAATTCTAGAAAACATAAAACTATAATGAAAGAAAACACATCGGTGGTTACCTGAGGCTGGGAAAAGAGAACTGACCACAAAGGGAGACAGGGGGTACTTTTTAGGATGACATAGGTGCTCCTATAACATGATTATAGTGGTGGTTACATAATTCCAACACTTGTCAAAATTCATCAAATTGTACTATAACACTGAAAGGAGATAAATATAATTCTATATCCTGAAGCTTTAAAAAGATAACTCAAAATTGGAAAGCACCTACTTGTAAGAAAATCCTGATCTCCCTTCAAAATCATTACTAATGGACAAGAAAAACATAAAGAGATATCTAAAGAAATATAAAATACTATAGCCTCAGCTTTCCTGTAATCCAAATGATTAAAGACAAGTACAGAATAAAAAGGAACATATATATAGTAAAAGACAACTGCAAAAGGAAGATCAAGAAGGTAATGGTGGGGGCTGGGCCCGATGGCTCATGCCAGTAATCCCACCACTCTGGGAAGTAGAGGAGGGAGTGTCACTTGAGCTCAGGAGTCCAGCCTGAGCAAGAGAAAGACCCTATCTCTACTAAAAATAGCTGGGTGTCGTAATGCATGACTATAGTCCCAGCTACTTGGGAGACTGAGGCAAGAGGATCACTTGAGCTCAGGAGTTTGAGGTTGTAGTGAGCTATGATGACTCTGCCACTGGGTTGAGTTGCCACTGCAGTCAGGGCGACAGAGTGAGAGACTCAAAAATATAAAAATAAATAAATAAATAAAAGAAGGTAACAGTAATTTAGGAGAATTTAAAATTATATGGACAACCAGATCCAATTAACATCAAACAATGAATCAATATCAAGATGAGGCAGATAGGTATCTAAAGGTATCTATCTCTAAAGTTATCTTACAAAATTCTGTTTAGCTCTATTCTGTTCAATATTTATTCAAATTAAAAATAAACCTATAAAAGGAATGCTTATTTAATCTATATATGATACAAACCTGAATAAGCACTCTAAAGGAGCAATACACTAAAAAGATGGGCTGTATCTAACCGAGAAAATTTCATTAAGGATAAATATTAGGCTCAAAAGAATCAAGTGCAAAAATACAGATGAGGAAATCAGCCTAACAGCAGTTTACATAATAGCCAATGCATATCAAGCATTTCAGGCATTGTTCAAAGCAACTTACATACATTCCTTCATGCAACAAGTTTATCTACTGAAGACCTATTAACATGCCAGTCACCAAGCATCATAGATATATCAGTGAACAAACAGACATGAGCTTACATTTTAGTGGTAGAAGGTACACAAAACCCCAAATGAAAAATAACTAATACAGTAAATGTAACAGAAATAAAGGAAAAAAAGTTGACAAGGAGCCTGTGTTTACTATGATTATTAAATAAAATGGTCAGAAAAGGCCTCAGTGAGAACCTAACTATTAAGCAGACCTGGAAGAGGTGAGGTAATGAACCCATACATATGTACAGGAAGGCTGTTCCAGGCAGTATATGCAAAGCTTTTGAGGTGAAGTGTGCCTTAAGAAATACCAAGGTCAATGAGGCTGGAGCAGAGTAAAAGAGAAAAAGTGGACAAAGTCAGATACGTAACAGGGTGGGGAAAGGTAAAGATAAGTGAAAAGCCTTGTAGGACATTGAGAAGACTCTAGCTCTTACTCTGAGTGACAAGTGAAGTCACTGAAGAGTTTTGCGCCCAATTTGACTTACACTTTTAAATAATTATTATCACTTTAGATACACTGAGAAGGTGAAGCCACTGGATTTGATGATAATTAGATATGAGGTATGAACAAGAAGTCTAATGGATGACCTCAAGACTTGTAGCTTAAACAACTGAAAACATAGTTTCCATCAACTGAGATGAGGAAGTCTGCACAGGGATAAAGATCCAGATATTTTAGGTTTAAGATATCTTCTAAATATCCAAAAGGAAATAATCATGCATGCAATTGGCAAGTTTAATGTTCAGGGAATATGTCTAGGCTAGATAAGCAATAGCTAAGAGTTGTCAAGGTTTATGTAGTATGTAAAGTCATGAGACTGAAGGAGATCATTACTAAGGGACTGATGGTAGACAGAGGAAAAGTCCAAGAATAGAGGTACGATTCTCCAATAATTTAAAAAATTCCCAGAAAGATGAGAAGAGACCAGAACTCATTGAGTATTCACATATGCAATCTCCATTGACACCCTATAAACCATTATTCCCATTTTATAGTTGAGGGAGCTGCAATACAGAAAGATTTACCAATTGTCCAGAGATTTTAAAACTAAGAAGTTCAGAATCAGAGTTCAAATCCAGGTAATCTGGCCTCAAAAGTCTTTTGATGCATTTGCTTCTTTTTTAGAGCATTTCATACTCTACATAAATCAACAGTATATCACTGTCCAAAAGGTTAACAGAGAAATGGATGATGTAGAAACAAAAGGAGGTATTAATAATATTCAAACGTATATAGGACTTTTTGGACCTCATCTAAAGACTTGTACTGACACACTTTAAAAATACTTGATAGGTGCTCAATAAATGTTAATTGTCCTTACTATCACCATCATAATTATAGGAATGCATGTAATTGTCCACAGATCTTTAGAGGTCATTTTCAGAAATGCCACATGCTGTTTTCCCAATCTGAGCACAAGGGCACCAACAGAGTAAATTTTTTCCTCTTAAATACTAAGTTTTTTTCATAGTTTTTATTAGCAATCAACTAAACAATTTTTTTCCTCTTACCAAGTTGCGATTTCACAATCAATTTTACCATTATTTGACAGAGCACAAAGTTTCTATCATTTTAGAGCATCAATTTCAAAAACAATAAACTAATATTGTTGGTATAAAAAAACACATCTAGATACGTTCTAGCTTTTTCTGTCTACATTAGTGCTATCTAAAAGAACTTTCTATGATGATGGATGTGTTCTCTATGATAACGCCCTATCTCTGCGCTAATACTGTACACACAAGCCGTTTGTAGCTACTGAGCACTTGAAATGCAGCTAATATGACTGAGGAACTGGATTTTTAATTTTATTTAATTTTAATTAATTTAGATATCTACATATAGCTAATGGCTACCCTATTAGACAGTGCAGTTTAAGGTTAAGACCCAGCTTCCTGAACAACATAACTGGGTATTTGCCCACAGCTATAAAATTAATAATAGAGATCACACAAAAGCAAAAGCACAAAATTTAGGTGAGCATCAAAATACCGACGTGCTTAGCAATTACTGTCCCTTTTCTTCCACCTCCTCTTTATTAAGAGTTCCTGAGTCATACCTTTGTAATTTTTTGTTTGCTTGTTTTTTAATTACCACCAGCGTTTTCTAAACACTACGTGCTAAACTAATCTAATCCCTGCCCAACACACACACACACACACACACACACACACGCATAATGTGTCTCATTCCCTACGTCTCGAGATCCCAGCTCTCCTAGGACACCTTGCCCCTGAGGCTTCAGGAGGGAAGGGGTTATGGGTGTGGAAGGGATCGTTTTGGATTTCGAGGACTAACGAAGAGCCACCCCCATGAGTGCACATGGGGGTGTGTTCAGGTGAGGCAAGGATCCCAGCAGCAGCCACGAGGAAAGAATCTGGTGACCGCGCATATACACAAGAGGAGGGAACAGATGCCCAGGCAGGCCTGAGTTACCTGCACATCCCCAGGGAAATAGAGGACGTGATGCTGGGACGGCAGCTGCGGCTCCTCCTTCGCCTGGTCCTCAGGGAGGTCCCGCCGCTCCAGTCCCTCCCCCGTCGCTGCCAACAGGAGCAACTCGTTGCTGCGCTGCGGATCGGCTCCAGGCACGGAGGACAGCTGCAGGCACTGCTGACGGCGCCCCTCGGCCGCAGGGGAGCATCGCGCTCCGCCGCTGCCGCCCGGGTTCATGGCTCTGGCCTGAGAGCAGAAAGAGGGGTCTCCGATTCCGAGCTGCGGCAGCAGGAGCAGCAGCGGCGGCGACCGCAGGAGCCTGAACCCCCACATGGGTCGCCGCCGCGAGAGCGGTTCCGGGGTTGGAGGGAGCCCTGACAGAGGGACTTCGGTAGGCCGCCCAACGGTCGGCGGGAGCTGCCCGGGAGGGAGCCGGCGCGGGGGCGACGACGTCAGAGGCTGACGTCTGCGCGCAGCGTGCGTAAGGAAAGGAGGGGACGGGTGGGAGCGAAATCAGGCTCGGGTTCCCGGAGGGAGCGATGGGGCCGTGGCTTGAAGGAGGACGTTTCTGATTGGTGAAATTTGCCGCGACCGGGAAGTTCGAACGGAAGTCCGGCGAAGAGGCGGAGACGAGAGAAGGCAGAGGGAGAAAACCAGGTATGCCAGGCAGACGCAGGCGGCAGTTGTGGCGCATGCGCAGCAGGAGGGTGGTCCAATAATCCTGTAGATATAGTTTTGGGTGTAGTATGCCCCAGATTTCGGTACGTTCACCTTACAAGTGAGATGTATCTAGTCTTTCGAGCCTTAAAAAAGAGACAGATCCAAAGATATAAGTAGAGTAATTCTGTCCTGTAGAGGAATCCGTGGGAAGTCTTATGCATACCCTGGATGGAGCCACTTTTCTCAGACCTTGAGTTTCCTGAGTAGAATTATTAATAGATGAACGAAGATTTCTAGGTTCATGAGAAATTTGTGATTAGATAGGAAGGCTAATTCATCTCTGCTAGTAGCAAGGAGCAGGGCACATAGATTAAGACAGGAAAAATGAGGGTGAGGCATTAAGCACTTGTTAGTGTTTTGCAACGAATGCGATTTGCTATTTGGGGGTTTTCAAAAACCAATCTGAACAGTGTAGGAGAGTTATGGGTGTCCAACAACTATCTTGTAGCCAGTTGTGTAAGAATAAGATTTGGTGAAATGTATACTAAAGATGGGATGGGGACGGAATTCAGTAGTCTGAATTCAAGTGTTTCTGAGTCAAGACACTACAAAGAACCTTTTGGGAGAGAATATTAATGAGAATTATAATAATTACAGCTAACATTAATTGAGGGCTTACTATAGGCCAGGATTATAAGTATTTTATATATAATTGTTCTGAGTCTATATATATGTGTATTTAAGCACACATACTGTTTTCTTTGCTCCACATACACAAATATTAACAAATAGCTTGGAGTAGGAACACAAATGAGCAAATGATAAAATATGATTTTCTTATATATACATAGTGACTTCATAGAGATGTGATATGCTTAACCTACTCTGATCTAAATTACTAGATTCCATCTGACATCACAATGGTATAACCAATCAAATAATATTCAATAATAATTACTAAGTAGATCTGCTTTCTAAAAATAACCGGTAAAAAGAAGTAGAGGTTAATTATACAACAATGAGAATATAACCACATTTAGGCAACCAGTCTTCACTCTATTTTGCAAATTGCATACATGTTACTTTCCCTTGCTAGGTAAAGGATTGCAGAAATGTAATCTAAAAGTCCAAACAAGTACATGTATTGCAAATGCAGCCTTTTATTTTTGTGGTCTTGTTTTTAAGTTAACCTTTTAATGATATCTATCTCTATTGAAGGGGATAGGGAGTTCTTGTGTTTTAGAAAGAAAATTGAATGTAGCTAATATTAAATATTACAAAATTATCTCAGTATTTTTAAGATAATGGAGGTCTTTGAGAAATACAAGTAAGTAAAGATTTAAAAGGTAGAATAATGTGGCCGATTAGCTCAGTTGGTTAGAGCATGGCGCTAATAACTTAAAAGTCAGAGTAAAGAAACAGACTAAAGTAAGCACACGTTTTTTCTTACAGTCAAGCATCTGTACAATCCTACACAAGACACTTCCAGAGAAAGTAACAGTCCTTTATGGTAAGTCATTGACACTGTAATTCCTTCTCACAGGTCCTCATCATTTTACTATAATATTTATTTTCTATTTCCATCCCCTCTATGTTCTTCCAGGAGACCAATTTTGTAAATCCTTGCTTTTCTAACAACCATGACCACAGATGGCTCAGCATTTTCTCTATTTTATTCTCTCTCAGAGTTGGGTTTTCCATGTAAGAAAGAGATCTTATATATACAGAGTTACTATAACCAGTTGTGTGAATTTTCCCCTTCTTTATAACTTATGGGGATCCCCACAAGGACTTTATTATTATGTTTATAGTGTCCAAAAGACTATAGCTCATCTCTTGACAGTTCTCAAGGGATCCTAGACTTTTGTTATGCTACTCAATATATTAGATAGAAAAAGTTACAAAATTGGAAGGAATCTGATATGTTAATTTACTTTAGAAAGGACAGCATTAAAAGGCACAAACTGCAATATCTACAGAGGCCTGATCTATATCTTAAATAGTAAAATTGGCTATAAATAATATATTAGGGAGTGGTACAGAATGTGGCAAACTAGAAGGACATGTCATATTTGAAGAAGGCAGCCCACTATTCATCACCAACCTGTTGTAAAATGAAGGCAATGGTTTGCCAAACCTTCAAAATTTTCAAGAGAAATCAGATACATAGACTTTTATGTTTAATCTACCAATTTATAAATATTGACAACTAGTTAAATTTGCTTTATATGAAATATGCAACTCTAGCATATGATTTTGCCCCCAAAATTGCTGATAAAACAAAATTAGAGAATAAAGCTATTTGGAGGATTTGAAAGGTGGTAGCTTTTGGCTAGTTTCACTAGCTAAGTGACACCTTTTATGCCACTGCTATAGTATATTATGATTTAAACATGCTTCAGCAAAATACAAATCATTACATGTCAGTCAAGACCTTTTTTTTTTTTTTTTGAGGCAATGTCTTGTTCTGTTACTCAGGCTGGAGTGTAGTGGTACAGTCATAATTTACTGTAGCCTCAAACTCCTGGGCTCCAGCTATCTGCCTGTTTCAGCTTCCTGGTAGCTAGGACTTAGAGGTGGGAGCCACTGCATCTGGCTAATTTTTTTTATTTTTTGTAGACAGGGTCTCACTGTGTTGCCCAGGCTGGTCTGGAACTCCTGGCCTCAGGCAATCCTCCTGCCTTGACCTCACACAGTGCTGAGATTACAGACACGAGCCACCACTGAGCCACCACGCCCAACCTCATGATTTTATAGGTTATCTTTAGCACTCAATGAATCCTCAAATGCAATTATTAACTCACAGTACCTGCTTGCATTGTACTTTACCAACTGTTAAAAGGTAGGAAAAATTTAATCAGTTAAAAACTTAACAATCCTTCACAAAGTATACTAACAAGCCAAATCTAGTAGCATAGAAAAAGAAGTATACACCATGACAAAGTGAGATTTATCCCAGGAACGCAAGGTTGGTTTTATATCTGAAAATCTATTAACATTAGATACCATATCAATAAGATTAAAAACAAAAATGACATGATCATCTTAATAGACACAGAAAAAGAATTTCACAAAATCCTACACTCTATCATGATAAAAACACTCAGCAAACTAGGAGTAGAAGGGGCCTTTGTCAACCTAATACAGAGCACTTTGAAAAACCCAAAGCTAACATCATACATAATGGTAAATGACTGAATGTTTTCCCCTAAGAACAAAAATAAGATAAAGATGTTTACTCTTGCCACTTATAATCACCATCATACTAGAAGTTCTAGCCAGGAAAAATTGGGCAAGAAAAGAAATAAAAGATATCCATATTGGAAAGGTAGAAGTAAAGCCATGTAGATGATACGATCATCATGTATATAGAAAATTCTAAGGAATCCATTCAAAAACTATTAGAAACAATAAATGAATTCAGCTTGGTTGCAGTATACAACAATTATATTTCTATATACTAATAATGAATAATCCAAAAATAAAACAATTCTATTTGTAATAGCATCAAAAGATATTTAGGAATATTTTTTTTTTCTTTTAGGTGTCTTTTTTTTTTTTTTTTTAACTTTTTATAGACAGGTTCTCACTATGTTGCTCAGACTAGTCTTGAACTCCTGGCCTCAATTTATCCTCCCACTTTGGCCTTCCAAAGTGCTTGGATTATGGATGTGAGCCACCACACCTGGCACTTAGGAATAAATTTAATTAAAGAAATGCGAAATTTATATATTGAAAGCTACAAAATATTTTTCAAAGAATCTATAGAAAACCTAAATAAATAGAATGATATCCCATATTCATGGATCAGAAGTCTTATTGTTAAGATGGCTGTTCTCTTCAAGTCGATCTATAGATTCAACACAATTTATATCAAAGTTCCAGCTGCCTATTTTGCAAAAATATATAAGCTGATCCTAAGATATATATGGAAATGCAAGGACCCCAGAATAACCAAAACAATCTTGAAAAAGATGGTCAAAGTTAAAGGACTGACAATTCTTCACTTCAGTACTTACTACAAAGCTATAGTAATCAAGACAGTGTGTACTGGCATATAAGGACAGACATATGGAACAATGGAATAGGACTGAGAATCTAGAAATAAACTTTAAATTTATGGTCAATTTATTTTCAACAAAGGTACCAAAATAATTCAATGGGAAAAGAACAAGTGGTACAGGGACAACTGGATGGGCACATGCAAAAGAATGAAGTTGGACTCTTTCCTTAAAACATACAGAAAAAGTAACTCAAAATGGATCATAAACCTAAGTCTATGAGCTAAAACTTTAACACTTTTAGGAGAAAAGATAGAAGTAAATCTTCATGACCTTGTATTAGCCCAAGTCTTCTTATATGTGTCACCAAAAGCATAAGAGTCAAAAGAAAAAATAGCAATTTGTCCTTCTTCTAAATATAAAAGCTTTGGTGCTTCAAAGGACCCGAATAGAGAGTGAGAAGACAGTCCCCAGAATGAGAGAAAATATTTGAAAATCACATATCTGATACGGGACTTGTATCTGAACTATTACTGAAAATCCTTAGCACTCAATAATGAAAAGACAACCCAATTTTTTAAACAATCTGAACAGATATTTCACAGAAGATATACTAATGGACAATATGAATATGAGAAGATGCTCAATATTAGCAATTAGGAAAATGCAAATCAAAACCATAAGAGATACCACTTCATATCCACTAGGATGGCTATAGTAAAAAAAAAAAAAAAGACAGATAGTAAACAAGTGTCAATAATATGGAGAAGTTGAAACCCTTATGCATGGTAAGAATGGTGTAGTGGCTTTAGAACACAATTTGATAGTTTTGTTAAACATAGATTTACTATGTGACCCAGCAATTCTCTTAGATATATATTCAAGAGAAATGAAAACACAGCAACTTGTTCAGATATTCATAGTAGCATTATTTATAATACCCAAAAAGTGGAAACAACCCAAATGTTCTTTAGCTGATGAGTGGGTAAAGAAAATGTGGTACATCCATACAATATAATATTAATCAATAATAAAAAGGAATAAAGTACTAATACAAGCTACAATGTGGATGAATCTGGAAAACATTATGCTAAGTGAAGGAAGCTTGTCACAAAAGACAACATATTTTATAAGTCAATTTATATGAGAAGTCCAGAAATGGCAAATCTATTGAGATGGAAGTTAGATTAGTGGTTGCATAGGGCTGGGAGGAGGGGAACTATTAAAAACTAGTCACTAAGACCAAACTGAAGGGAGGAGAATTAGGCTGTACTTGTTGAAGGGAGGAGTATCAAAACTCTTGTAGTAATATTTCAAAACAGCCATACGCAGGTTCCACTCTAGACTCATCAGAATTCAGAGATCTTTGAACTTAAGCACAAGGTGAATAAAATAAGAGATGAAGTAGGTTTGGCTAAGACTAGATTATTGTATGAAACTAACCATAATCTTTATCTTGAAAAACTTGGGGAATCACTGAAGAATTTGAAACAGGGAAACTCATGATAAGATCTGCACTTTAGAAAGATCACTGTTATTGCAGAATAGAGGAGAAATTGAAAGGGGCAAAAATGAAGTCAAGGAGGACAGTGGACAGCTATTCCAGTACTCCATATGTATCTTATATCTATTGTCACAATAATGCTATATAACAAACCAGTCTAGAATTTAGTGGCCTAAAACAATAGTATTTATTATATTGCTTATGAGTCTACTGGTCAGCTGGGCAGTTCTCCTGATCTGGGATAGTGTCAGCTGACCGTGGTTGATCCCTATATTCAGCTGGCAGAATGGCTAGGGGCTGGCTTATCTATGATAGCTTCACTTGCATGTCTGGTGACTGGCTGACTATTAGATAAGGCAGTGTATTCCTCATCATCCAGGAGACTAGTCTGGGCTTGTCTTTATGGTGACAGTGCCTAGGAGAGTGAGCAAAAGTAAGGCCAAGACTCAGAACTTGCGCATTATCACTCCTGCTGCATTCTATTAGCCAGAGCAAAAAATAAGGACAGCTCAATTCAAGGGGTGGGGAAAAAGATTTCACCTCTTAATGTGAGAAATTTCAAAAGGACATAGATATAGAGGGGGTAAAGAACTGTATCCATTTTTGTAATTTATCACAGTCTATCCTCTGGCCACAATTATTCACATCCTTCCTCATGATGGGATTTGGGACCTGCTATCCCAAAATGTCACTCTCACCTTGCCCTCACTCTTCTCCTCTGGAGCAGGCCATAAAACCTAAATTTCCAGACCTTTTTCCCTTATGTAGTTCATAAGAGCCTCATATGAAAGATGCCCTCCCTATATCCAGCATCCTTATCTCTGAAGATAGGGACAGAGGGAAGAATCTGAACAAACAGGCCTTGCTAAGTTCCCCCCAGTTTATTGCCATTAGGTCATACCTCCTTTGTCCAATCATACTTCTTCATAGCTATCCAGTTCATCAAATATAGCATAAAAGTACACAAGTTTCCCTGTTTCCTCAAGTCTTCATTTCTGAAGTCTC